GACGACGTGCAGCGCGCCGCCAAATGCGTGATCGGCGTGGATTATCCCAAACCCATGGTGAACCACGCCGAGGCCAGCCGCCTGAACATCGAGAGGATGCGGCAGATCTACCAGCAGCTCTCCAGATACCGCGGACTCAGTAAGAGCTTAGTCAAGTTCACCGCTTTCACGTTCTTATTTAAAGATACGGTTTTAAAAATCATTCTACATTTAAAAGAACAGCAGAGTTCAATCCACAACTATAATGAAAACAATATCGTTGGAATCGCTTTTAGAAAGATTTTTTTCCAGATGGTGAATGATAAAAACATTGACAGCCAATCAGAATCCACCGAATTTAAACTGCAGCGTGCTTATAATAAACAGAACGTTATCGTCGACTAATATAGCTATCATTATAGTTACGATAACGACAAAGAGGAACGATATTGTTGGAATCACTTTCAGAACGAATTTTTCCAGCTGGTGAACGATACAAACATTGAACGATATTGTTGGAATCACTTTCAGAACGAATTTTTCCAGCTGGTGAACGATACAAACATTGACAGCCAATCAGAATCCACCGAATTTAAACTGCAGCGTGCTTATAATAAACAGAACGCTATTGTCCATTAATATAGTTATCATTATAGTTACGATAATGACAAAGAGGAAGGATATCGCACTAATATAGTTATCATTATAGTTACGATAACGACACAGAGGAATGATATCGTTGGAATCACTTTCAGAACTAATTTTTCCAGGTGGTGAACGATACAAACATTGACAGCCAATCAGAATCCATCGAATTTAAACTGCAGCGTGCTTATAATAAACAGAACGTTATCGTCCACTAATACAGCTATCATTATAGTTACGATAACGACACAGAGGAATGATATCGTTGGAATCACTTTCAGAATGAATTTTTCCAGATGGTGAACGTTAAAAACATTGACAGCCAATAAGAATCCATCTGACTTTGAAGAGCTCAAGCATTTAAAGCGGTAGATGACAAAACTGCAGTGCATGATTAAAAATAAACAGAACTTTATCATTCGTTAATTTAGTTATTGTTATAGTTATTGATATATTTGTTCTTGGTGTGAAAGGGCTTTAACTATGAAAGAATAGCGAAGTCCACACCACAACTATAATGACACAGAAGAACAATATTGTTGGAATTACTTTCAGAATTATATTTTCGAGCTGATGTACAATAAAAACATTGACAGCCAATCAGAATCCATCGAACTAGAGTTTGAGAATTTAAAGTGGCAGGCGACAAACTGCAGTGTGTGTACTTGTAATAAACAGAACAATATCATTAGAATCACGTCAGTTATCGCTGTAGTTAATGTTCTTGGTGTGAACGGGCCTTTATTTTAATTCATCCATCAGGTCTTCTCGCAACTGTTCCGTCCAACCACATGGAGGTGGTAGGTGTCAGTGAAGCCCAAGGAGCAGCAGCGCCACCTACACGCCGGAGGACCCAGAGCGGCACTTCGTCTCATCGTGAGTGTTTGAAATCGTACGTTGCGATCAAGTAAGTGTGTTTGAAGTTGAGTTTTAATGCTCTGTGCAGTTCACAGCAGTGACAGAAATGAATCTTTTCCAATAAGTTTAAATAGATTTTTACCTTTTATGGGCATTTTTACCTTTATAAAGCGTGCATTGTCTTTTGAGTCAAATTGTTACATTTAATCAGTGAATTAGAATAAGATATTTGGGCTGTTACCAAGCAAATTAAATTGGTATCAATAAAATTCATCTTTGCAATGCAGAGGAATTACATTTAATCAAATTAGAATAATAAGATATTTGGGCTGTTACCAAGCAAATTAAATTAGTATCAATAAAATTCATCTTGCAATGCAGAGGAAACACAGAAGCTGCGTCTGAAGAGGCATTTAGATGTGTTTACACACTGTTTAATGCAAAACATGAATGCATTTAACATGCAATTACAAATGCATTAATAATGTTTTGATAAATCATAAAACGTTGAATACTGTTATTTCAAATTTTTCAAATAATAAAAAGAAACTTTGAGTGTGAAATTAAAACCGCCAGCAGGTGGCAGCAAGTCACTGTTAATAAATGAGTCATTGCGATTGAACCGAATCATTTAAACGGTTGATTCATTCAGGAACGAGACACCGTCATGTTGCTCAGAGATGCAAAACAGTGCTGTGGCTGTGTTTGGAATTACTTTTATAGTCGAAATAGCGCAAAAACAAGCAATAATCTCATAATTAACTGCTTAACTTCTATCTCATAATTAATTAGTCTCTTAATAATTAACTTGTTTATTGAACTGTTGTAAAAAATCAATATTACATTTGTAATCATGGCAGTTTTTAAAGAAAAAACGGCACTCTTTGTGTGATATTGATTAACTATATGAAGTGATATAAATATATAAATTTTCTGTCCCCATATCTTGAATTTTGTGATCATTGTAAATTCATTTTAATAGACTGAATCATGCAGTGAAAGAACGCACTCTAAATGCGCACTAGTCTAGACTTCACGTAACGTATGCGTGCGCTCTTTAGGTGTTTTGAACGGTTTTTGCAAAATACTCGATAATGTCAAATCGCACATCGTTAAAACAACAATTACGATATTATCGCAGACAATATATATCGCACACCCCTAGTCCTTCGGTTCATTTGATAACGTTTTATGAACGTTTACGCAATATTTTTTTTTTACGTTTCTCTTCTGCAGGCCACCGTACATCACCCTACACCACCCAGAGCGACCTGTCGGAGCACGACCACAAATTTGCCGTGCCACAACAACCAGGTTGGTTTTTTTTGCGCAGGAAATACGTTACAGTGGTTTGCGAGCAAAGTTTGATGTCGACTTCCTTCAGGGCGTCTGATTTGGCCGATTGGGGGCGGGACTGGAAAGAGAGAAAGGGAGGCGGAACACAACGGTTGCCATGGTGATGACGGCCCCTCCCCCTCGTTAAAAGCCCAAGACGACGAGGTTCGTAAAAAAGTCGAAGCTATACAAAAGTTGCCGATTAATAATATTAGAATCGTTCAGTTGTATTCATCTGTTTGTTTCAGAAGCAAGCGGCGGGAAGACGGGGAGGGCGTGGCCTTCTCTTCCTAAGCTCCACCCACTGATGGATTCGCAAAATGTATTATAACCAGACCTCGCGTGTTAAACACAAACATTCAAAGTCATTCAAAACAATTAAACGGTTTGTCCAATCAAATTGTGGCAAAAATGTAATTTTAACATTTTTAGAAATTTTATAACGTAATACACAATTAAATAAAATGTGATTATTATCCCAAATATTGATTTTAAAAATCAGATGGAAATACTGTCTTCATGAACTTTTAAAGTAAAGGTCCTTTCACGCCAAACTCCGTCTAAACGAATGAGTGTAAACGAATATTCGTCAGGTTGAACGAAAAGCTAAATGTTTTAATAAGAAAACATTAATTTAGTTGACGAAAACGTGAACCAGAGCTCAAGTCTTAATGGTCAGCACATTTCCGTCACCAGTTGCGAAAAAAAATGACTCTCCATTGTTTATATTCAAATTTGTGAAGATTTGTTTGGCGTAAACGGACCTTAATATAGGAAAATACAAGTAATCGCAAACAGCCACAGAAGAACACGCATTACGCCACATTTAAACGGATCCAGATTCACTCAGTATTACGGACGAACGGAAGAGTTTCCGCAGCACCTCACCTGTACATACCTGCGTCTGTCTCCATGAGTCACAGGATCGTTGGAATGGGTTTGGGTCCAAGCTATTGTAACTGTACCACAGATGAATGATTGTCTCGTCTGTATAAACGACTGTATTTTGCTCCATGTTTCAGTGTTTTTGCACAGATAGAATTGTGTAGAATGGGCTCCAGGTGTTTGATATCATCGGCTGTGCATTATTTCCACCTCTCATTGTCATTGTCTCCATCTCTATGTACTCCAGTGTTTTGTATATAACAGCTGTATCTTATGGAGCTGCATATTTTTACCGCTTGTGCTTTCAGTTTTTCTACAAAATATTAGTAGCTGTTTTGAATTTTAAAGATATATATATATATATATAGTACCAGCATTTGTTTCTCAAGTCTGTGTGGTACTCAGCCAGCTAATAAAAAATATTTAAACACAATGTGAGTGTTTTGTTTTTTATTTTTAATAAAAATAAAACTAGATCTTTAACTAGATGTATTTTATTATCTAGTTATGAACCGTTTTTGTCTCTTAAATGAGTTAGCTGCTTGCAAGTTGTTGTGATCGTGACTGTGCTGAACGACTGCACTCCTGTAAAGGTAAGATATAATCAAAGCTAATTAAATATTTCTGTGTTCAGTTAGCTTACGCTATACAACGTGTATAGCTACGCTATACAACGTGTTTTAAGTTACAACTGACAGATTTTAGTTAATAAGCTGATTAGCCTGCTCACAATTTTAGCCGGTTTAGCAGGCTAATCAGTTAGCTTACTATATCCTGCAAGTTGCTACGTGAATTGTATTATTACTAAGATAATCAATAAGCCTGCAATAATAGTGCTTATTAAGTCTGTTTTATAGTCTAATTAGCCTGTTAAGTTTTATATAAAATCATATTAATCCTTTACAGAATTTTGTGCTGTGTGAAATTTTCCTAAATCTTAAAAATGTTTGAATCGTGATTGTTTCTCCGAGGGAATGCATCAATAGAAATATACCGCTATTAAAATTAAGTTTAATTGTGCCAATAAAAATGAACAAAGTTCAAATTAAGTTTAATTTGAACTAAAATGTAACAAAAAGTTTAGTTTAATTCTGACTATATTGACATTATTGGCCACATGGTTACGTTAAAGATGTTTTGCTAACTTGCTAATCAAATTCTCTTCAGACTTTTCCAACATATGATAGCAAAACGTTATTAATTGTGTTTTGGCAATAAATTTTAAGCTGCCATTGTGTAATTTTAATTTTTTTAAAAGTGATGAAACTGGAGTGAAATCATTGAAAACACATTCCGCAGCAATAACTTTATTACATTCAAATAATAAAAAATGCAATTTACAAACACAATTTGACCGAAAACATTTCAGAAGAAATCCAATGACGTCGTTTAACAGCTACAGAAACAAACATCACTGATTACATCAAAAACCCACAGTATGACGTACAAAACTCCCTTTTGCGCAAATGTCTTGGGCGTTGATTGGTCAGAAACACCCGTCACATGTCTCTGGTGACCAATCAAAAATCAGCATCACTGCGCATAAGCACAGTAAACGAGTGTTCGGCTCAAACGCGAGGTTCTCGTTATAATCGTCCGCTTCTTCACTCCGATTTGTCTTTCCTCTTTCCAGTGAACGGAACTTTATTGGCTACTGTCGACCCCACCGTGGACACGCCCCCTGCCACCGCTGAAACCCCGCCCTTCACCAGGCCGACGCCCACCGAGGGCACCGCGGTCACTGCTGATTTGGTGATCTCCAAACTTTTCCCGCCCAGCCAGGTGACTCCGCCCACCGTGGCTCTGACCACGCCCTTCGTGGCGCTGAAGAGGCCGCCGGTCACGCGCCAGATCATGGTGGGCGGAGCCACAGGGTGCTCTTTACCGCCATCTGCAGCAAAGAAAATAACAGCGATACGTTTAATTAACGTCTTTTAACATTCGCAATATATTCAACATTAATGACTAGAATTAGAAAAAAAACGAGTTATTTCTTCTGGGTCATATTTAACCCCAAAATCAAAAGACAACAAAAAAAACGTATGCATCAGAAACCATTACTTTAAAAAATGCATTGGAACATTATTAATTTCATTATTTTTACTGCATTATAGTAATGATAATTAAAAAAAAATAACATTTTGCATTGAAACATTAATTTCATTATTTTTTTATTGCACTATAGTAATAATAATTTGGAAAATATTTATTATTTTTTAAAACTGACACATTAATTTCATTATTTTATTGCATTATAGTAATGCAAAATACGGGGGGAAATATTACTTTTTTTTTTGCATTACAACAATTTCATTATTTTTACTGCTTTATAATACTGAGAGTGTGGGGAAAATAATTACTTTTTTGTACTAAAACTATTAATTTCATTATTTTTACTGCATTATTGTATCATGATTTTTTGGAAAATAATCTAAAACATTATTAATGTTATTTTTATTGCATTATAATAATAAGATCATTTTGTATTGAAACATTCATTTATTGCATTATAGTTATGCAAGTTTGGGCAAAAAAACATTACTTTTTTGCATTAAAACAATTTTACGGTGACGCATTGCTGCCACACACATATTATTTTTTCCACTCAATTATGTCGTAATAACGAGATGTTATGTCGTTAAAACAACATCTTTTCTCGTAATAACTAGATGTTTTCTCGTTAAAACGACATAATTGAGTGGAAAAAAAAAAATGTGTGTGGCAGCAATGCGTCACTGTACAATTTCATAATTTTTACTGCATTATCACAATGAGAATATGGGGAACTTTTTTTTGTAAGGAAACTATTAATTTAATGATTTTTACTGCATTCTTGTAATGTGAATCTGGAAAAATAATCTATGTTTTTAATGAAAACATTATTAATGTCATTATTTTTATTGCATTATAATAAGAAGAATTTGCGTGGAAACAATTTCATTATTTTTATTGCACCATAGTAATAAGAATTTGGAAAATTTTAATTACTTTTTTTTAAACTGAAATATTATTAATGTCATTATTTTATTGCATTGTAGTAATGCGAATGTGGGCAAAAAACATTACGTTTTGCATTAAAACAATTTCATAATTTTTACTGCATTATAATAATGAGAATGTGGGGGGAAATCTTTTTTTTTTTTTACTATTAATTTCATTATTTTTACTGCACTATTGTAATGAGAATTTGGAATAATAATGACTTTTTGGTGCACATTAAACAATTTTTACCATAAATTGTCATTATTGTCATGCAATAAAATAAAATAAACCAAATAAATAACAATGCAATAAAGTCTTGATAAAAATAAATAGATAAATGTATTAATTTAAAGAAACAGACTTAACTGACGATTCATTTTTTTGGGTTGCAGTATGGAACTGGACATATTTCATATTTTGATGTATTTTACTGTAAGTTGTGGGGATGCTCATCTTGCATCATCACACAGGATCTCGTTGGAAAACAAGCTTTCTTCCCACAAACCCTCAAACAGCCGACAGCGAATCTCTCACCAGAGACCAGTGTTTACTTCAGTTAGGAGGGACGCATTAACAAAACCAATCATGTGAGGCATGACGAGTCTAGCAGTATATGATGTGCTTTAAATGAGACGCAGAACTGGAGACTGACTTCTGAAGATGAGTTATGAATACTGTACCTGCGGACAGGTGTGTTTCTCTGCTGGACTGAACTTCTGAATGCACGCTCTACAAACACAGACAATAAACACAATCAACACCAGCACAGCTCTTATATAACATACAAAATAAACTAGATTGCAATATATAAAGTAAAAACCATAAATAAAAAACCTAGAAAATAATTTTTTTATGATTGATTTATGAATAAGATATTATTTGAAAATATATATATACTGTATGTGCAAAAAAAGTCAAATGAATGACATTAAAAATATATGCTAAAATCAAATAAGTACAAAAAATATAAACGCAAAGACATTCTGAATATATTTCATTAATAACTCATTAAATTTGGGGAAATTAACAGGCAACATAAAGCAGAAATAATAAATAAAAGACGATTAAATTAAGATCACAGTTCAGTTGTGATTGATAAATAAATACACATATGTGTGTGTGTTTATATCATATGAAATGAAGCGCGTGCTGCTTCTCTCACCTTCACCATGATCGCTGTTTGTGTCTCCAGATCGCTGTGTGTGCGACGTGGCGCTCGATCCGCTACGACGCTGAAGGCATGGCTCATGAATATTAATAACGTAACGGGACGCTCGCACGGTACCCCCGCTTGATTGGTCGAAAGGGAGGCGTCTTAAAAGTGGGCGCGGCCAGTAAAGTAAAGCGTGTCATTCATTTCAGTGCTTCTCAAGCACACTCGCCAGAAAGTTGAGGAAATTACAGCAGTTTTTGGCATTTTAACGCATTAGTTTACCTCTCGGAAATCTGGCCAGTTGTTGTAGTTTATGAAACGCGTTATAGTTGATGTTTAGTTTTAGATAATAGGCAGTTATGCTATATTTGCAGTTAGATAACGTGAGAAACACCTTAATAGCGATCATAACCAGACGCTAGTTGTCATATTTTTAGTCTTTCTGCAATATTTTTCTCATTGTAGGAAGTTGAATGAGTTTCAGTGAAGACTGCCCATTAAAGCAATACAAGAAAGAGTTTCCCTGAATGCAGTTGGTTGCCTTGTGTTTTGTTTTTTAGTCAAATTCCGTATTTGCTGTCCTGTTTTAACATTCACTTATATTGTCTTCT